ACCCTGAGCCGGTGAGATTTGAACCGCTGACCTGCTGATCTAGCAGTAGCCTGCAGTGCTGCATTTAACCACTGCGCCACCTTGGCTCTTTTAATACTTAAAAGTATCACAGAATTACTGTCCATTCCATTCTCATAATAAACCAATATCCATGCCTTAGTGAATCCATTCTCCCATTAAAAAAAGACAGACTCCAGATATAATTGTACCCTTAGTATTATTTTGGAATGTTATTAATATACATCTACTGAAACATACTGTATTTTTTAAGTTAAGACACACTTTTTCCCCCTCTAAGAGGCTGAAAATTTGGATGTGTCTTATACTCCAAATGTAGCTTTTTCAAAGCTTTTTTTTTCAGCCCTAATGAGGCACTAACGACTGAACTGATCTTCCAAGCTTTGCCTGCTTTTCTCGTTGTTTCTCTCTCGGAAGATCAGCTGTGCTTTAGAAGCTATTTTTTATTCCCAACGAAGGGATAAAAAGTTGGCACACGCTCAAAACCATCAAACTTATGTGCTGAAGCTGATCAGTCTAAGGACGCTAGCCAGATGAATATCTGATAGGCAGAATCCCCACCACCTTATTTTCCTCCCCAAAAACTAAGGTGTGTCTTAACTCTAGTGCATCTTATACTCTGAAAAATACAGTAAACAGATTTCACACAAAGAAAAATATAGGCGAAAAAAATGAATAAAAAGGATTTTTCACAGAATGTTATTTTTGTTATATACCAAGTTTACTTTTAACATATTTCAATTTTTGCTATAATGCTGTATAATGCTACAATTTGCTTAGCAGCTTGGGTTGCATTCTTATGTTTTGCTAGTTTAATATACAATTTCAAAATAGAAGAAAACATTAGCAATGCAGTTATGTATTGTGGACATCTTCCACTATAGCAAATATTTAAAGAAAATACTAATTTTACATTTAAAAAACTATTGGGTTAAAAAGAGAAAGGAGAAAATCCACAGCTCATTAGTTTCATTATCTGAAGTACTACAACTCAACAGTTTAAGTGTCTTTTTAATCCTACATTTCTTTTTATGAACAGAAAACTGAAGATTTGTCTTTTAGTGAAAAAGTTCTTTATCTTTTCTATATGTTGTGATATTTCTTGATCTGGTGACTTTCCAATTGTGAGCCAATTAACTGTTTTACAAGCAATTTTAAAATAAACCCAATAGGAAATACATAATGATCCTCTTTTTAAAAAAGGCTTGTGGGATTTTTTTGGTGAATTGTTCCTCTGTTTTCCTTCAATTCTAATCAAGTTGGTATCTGCAAAAACTTTCAGTTATTTCAGGATATCTTCTGTATTGCATGCAGTGCTTGAAAATGTTCCCTAGATTTCTAAATTAAAAACATATAAAAATGTCCAGCAGGGAATTATATCTATACAATACTAATATCTGTAAACTTAAATTGGGTGAAATGATGCTTCATAAGGCAACAATTTTTGAATCAAAGAACCTGAAATGGGCTAATTTAAGAATGTGTCCAAAATCTGGGACACATGACTCTCTCATGAGATTGAAATTTGGCAAAGGTGTGGCTGCTTCAGTGCTGCCGAATCACTGGCCAGAGGTTCAGCAGAGTGGTCCCATCCTAGCCCTCCAGAAGCTGGGTAAACTGGTCCCTCCTTTAGTCAAGTCCCCAGAAAGTTTGTTCCTGCTCCCTGCTTTTTTTGCCTTTGTTCCTGCGCTCTCTGCTTTTTTGTTTCTCTTACCTGTTTAGATAAGGAAATAACTGAAACAAAGACCCAACAGGTTAGGGGTCATCTAGTTATAATTAAAATGGAAATATATTTTGCAATTTCAACTTTACATATTCATTTCAGAAACATTTGCCTGCTGGCTTTACTCCTTATATCCCATAATTTATATATTTAGAAATTATACTGAATAAAGACAAATGAAAAATCCTTCAACACAATTGACTAAAAATCATTACAAATCATTTCCTAATAGCTAAGTGCAATGGAGAAATTATTCACCAAGTAATTTCAGCATTTTCAGCACACATAACCTTATCATGCTATTTCTTTTTGAAAAACCAAAAGTGTACTCAACTGCTATTTTCATATAACAAGGTAGGGAGAGGCTCACATTTCCTGCAAAAAGAAAAAAGAAATCAACTGTACAAAACCACTTAATTGAATTGGTACATGTATGCTCTGTAATGGGTTCTTTGTGTAATTCTTTCTGATGTACTCAATTCCACTGTCGTTTGTTATTTTTTTCTTTTTTGATTGCTATTTTAGTCCTAATTATTACTTAACGAGCTGTTTAGAATTGCAATTACACTTGAAGTGGTCTTTTGAACTCTACTCACATACAACTCACTAATTTTAACAATTATTTGCACATCTTATTTTCCCATCTTTAGTAAACATTCTACCAAGGTAAAACATTTATTTACCTACAGTTTATGTATAACTTGCAATTATTCATATTTTTTCTTGGAAAACAAAGCAGTCTTAGTTTTGATATATTAACTTTCAGATGCATATCTCTCATGGTATTATATAGCCTAACATTTCCTAAAAATAATTTGGATTCTCATCTCACAATAACAGTTCTGACTGTATGCAGCACTACATACACACTCATGAAACTTCCCTCTCCAGGAGAATTCCTGATGTATTTTCCTGTATATATATTAAACACTCATCACACATCATGCAAAACACACCATTTATTTTCATATAAGCTCTATCATAGATATCAATTACCAATTCAGCAATCCGCTCCTAAACATCACACTGATACAGATCCCTTTCATAATTCAAGACAGGTCATTTGACAATTTTCCTCTAAATTTACAAATGTACAACAAACTTTCTTTCTCAAATCCATATATTTTTAGTGATCTTTTCAAGAACAAAAATCTGACTAACTATCCAGCATAAATTTTCAACTCAGATTTTAATCACTGATACCTCCCTTCGATCTGAATTCTACCAAAACTCTTCCTAGGCATACTGTACATAACAGCCTAATCCCAATGTAATTTTGGTATTTATGTTTGCTATTACTCTCTTTGTATTAGGGAATAAACAATATTCTTCCAATTGTGAGGCACATGAACAGATCCAAGTCAGGCAGCTCCTCCATAAGCAGACATAATTAAAAATTATTGTGAGACACCATCTATACCTGCAGCGTTATATTTCAACATGTTCATATTTGTCACTTCCTTTCCATTGTTTTTTCTTTGTTTACTAATATACCATGATAATTCCAATACAAATCTTTAAAATATATATTATAGCATTTTCTCCCTTCATTTTCTTCCAAATAATGTCACTTTTATTTCACTTCATTTACTTTGCTTAGAGAATTTGTTTAGACCTTTTCACCTACTTCCAAAACAATGTTTTATTTTCATCCAAATGCTTTATCTTTTTTTTTTGGTTTCTTTTAATCTTAATGGCTCCTTTCTCTCTTTATTCTTTGCAGACATGCCTTTCTCTATATGCACATTATACAGTATTTTTCCCTTGTACTTTTTTGCAGCAATTCTATTTTGTTATATGCATATGTATGTTTCAATAATAGCTATATTCCCTAAATATTCTTAGGATAACTGAGAGAAGAAAATTACTGAAAATAAATATTTATTTACTCGTTAGACATTACTGTATGCAAATACATATAGGAGATTCTGCTACTCATCTGCAAGATACATGGCAACAGATGGAATGATTGGGGTTCATACATATAAAACATAAAGACATTTTCTAATTGGAACGCTTGCTCAAAACATTTTTTAAAACTATAGGGATGGAGTGCCAGATAGATTTTCAACTGTCAGATCTTCAGTATTAGTCATGAATGTTCTTTGGGTTGCATCCTTTCTTTCTTATTTTATAATGATGACTTCTAGTAACAAAACACTCAACCCTGCAAGACATAAGGGCTGTTTTAGATAACTTGTTAACATACATACTCAACTAGTGCCATATTCCTGGCCTGTCTTCTGACAGTCAATGGCATTTTTGATTAGTTTTACATTGCACATGTCTTTAGTGTAAGTGTAGTTCTAAACAGCAATTGCCACCAGCCATAGGGGATGAAGATCAATAAAGTAGCATGTGCATGGATCTTTCCTCCCCACTGCTATGGCTTTTATAAAAAAAACCCTACCTTGTGGTTGCAATTTGACTCAGATGGGAAGGTTTCATGGCACCAATGGGAACTTCCTTCCCAACGTAAATTGGAGCTGTGGGGGCAGAAGGAGGAAGGGTTAAACCCCTATGCGTTGCAGTCCAGATCCACATCCACACACTCCAACAGTAAATTCTGTTTAAAAACTACCTTTACATTAAAATCTTAAAATACATTTAGTATAATATCCAGATTTACACTAACAGAGAAGAAACTCTGTAAATACTTAAGCTTGCCAGAATATTTGTGAACAACAGGTTTCATAGTTCACAATTCTCCATAGTCAAGACTTAGCTAATTAAATATTACTTCACTGAACATTTACAAACATTTCCTCCCAAAGAAGCAGAAGTGTGTTTGTAACACCTCCTACCATTTTTAAAAATATGCACCAGGTATGCAATGAAATCTGTATTACATTACTTCCAAGAAAAAAGTGAATGCTTGTAATTTTAGAATATATTTATTGTCCAAATCTTATTCACAAAAGTTTATTGGGCAGGACAGCAGACATATGATGTGATTGATCTGTATGGAATATAAATTTCCATGTTGTACCTATCCCTGAGAAGATATTGTTATGAACAACCATCTGTTTAACAAAAAGCAGCTTTTAATCTTCCCTATTCATAGCAAATCACATAGTTTCTAAAAAGAAAGGTTCCACCACAAAACCGCGGACGACAAAATCGCGGTCGACGAAAGCGCGCATTTGACGTCATCACAGCGCGACGAAAAA